TCCGTGCTCTCCGTACCATGGCACCCCCATCGTTGGTGACCCTTCTTCTACCATGAGAAATGCATCTCCCGGGCCCCAGGGAGCGCGATGGCATCCGCTCTGGTCAGGATCCGACGTCTGGCATGCCCAGCATGCAGCAAACAATGCATGGCCCCAATCCGCGAACCCTGCTCCGGCTCCTGCCGCCACACTCATGCCTCCACCACCTGACTATCCTACCCAGCCGGCCCCATCGTCGCCCGCGCAATCGCGTCCCGCCTTGGAACCACTTGCGAACGCGGACGCAGATGCAGTGCGCGTCCACAAGCTTCGCGAAGAGTGGCTCGAGCGCATGAACCCCGAGTGTGCGCCCCATCTCGAACCGAGGATCGAGAAGTGGCTGCTGGACTACATGGAGAGCACGCACGGCCCTCAAGAGCGCGGCGGGTTTTCTCGTGCGCCGGGTGCTGGGAGGGAGTTGGTGAGGCCGGTCGTGAAGCCGATCGAGCGGCCTCCGTCGACCTATGTTCCGAAGCTTTTTATGCCACTCCTGTTACCGGAGTCGAACATCTGGAGTGCGGAGGCTGGTGAAGGTGATGGTCAGCGGTCGTGGCCTAGCACTGCATAACTCGTGCTTTGTATATTTCGTGCTGCTCGGCGTCACGGTAATTGTCGTTTTACTTGTGCTAGTCCATGTATCCTGTATCCTGAAGCGTGGGTCCCGATCCCGCATCTCCATCTTTATTATACCTCTTTAAATCCTTCATTGCACATTATTCTTTCCATGAACTATGAAGCGCGAACAGGTCTTGTGGTTCCGTTTCAGACTTGCTTATCTCTGTTGTGACTGTAGCTCGGCGCTATAGCTCAAACGACTATACCTTGGCCAACCTCGATTGTTACACACTATACGAAAGAGCAGCAGGAGGACGTTTTTGTTTGTCTATCAATTGGAGAACCTTACGGGTATATGTATCGACCCTTTATCTCGGCTAGAAGCGAACATTACATCCGCTTTCGTCATCATTCCTTTGTGAGTACGGATGACACCGCCATATAAGAATATCTATCTACTTCTCACGAAGTTCCCCATACTCCACCCTGCGAGCCAACTTCTACCTCTATTGGTATGGAGAGACTGAACACAAAAGAAACGGCACCCATGATGGCACCACGATCGATCCACCATGCAGCCAACTTCGAATCTATCCTGGCGTGGCGGCAGGCTGTGGGCGGACAGAATGATGTCCAGCCTCGAGGGCTGCCGTCTGCCCGCGGGGCACAGTATCAGGTGAGCCAGTCTTGCGGCTTTCAGTAACAGCAGAGGAAATGATAGCAGCCTCTGGCACTTCTTCCCGCCTCGCCACGTTCCTTGACTTGCAGCAACTCCGGCGCTCTTACGACGGCTTCGTGCCTATACGTATCCCGGGTCGGAAGTCGCTCACATATCTTCCACGTCCGTACCAGAAGGAAGAATCCGACGACGAAGTCCAGGACAGCCCCGGTGGGCGGCGAGCCACTCCCCGTGGCGTGGTAATCTACGATGGGACACGAGACGAAGGCGATAGAGAGAAGCCTCAGCGTAACCACACTCACTTTATCGGTCACGATGGTGTTGAATGGCCTGCACCACCCTCTCCTCCACCCACTCGTCCATACCACCTCAACCACTATATCCCAGACTCAAAGCGATCGCGGCGGAAACACAAGTCATCGACGGACTCTACGCACGCAACATGCAAGGTTGTGTGGTCAGCAAAGGCGCCACACGAGAGCGACAAAGAAGAGGGAATCTCACCAGCTGGATATCTAGTCGGGCGAGACGGGATCATATGGCCTGCACCACCGTCCGAGCATCCGTCCCTAGACTCGTCCTTCTCCACGGTCTCCACGGCGACGACATACGCCCAGTCGACGAACACTTCATTTTCATCGTTGCTGGACGGTGACTCGGAGCAGGAGGCAAGCGATGCCCGTTTCTCGAAGGCTACGAATGACGTGCGGCGGGTTAAGTGTGGGTCAGAAGAAACGTGGGACTTACGCGATTACAATAGCCGGAAATCGCATTCGGGAGGGTCGCTTGTTCCGTTGGAGGGGCGAGCGGAGGCACGATTGCGGAAGGACCGGCAGTTCATTCGTCAAGAGATGATTAAGGTCCTGGCGCGCAGAGTGATCGCTGCGACCGGCGACAGCTTGTGGAAGAAGATCGAAAATTCCAATCGTTTGACGGAGTGTAAATTGTGTGGCGGGAGTTGGTTAAGGACGGTGTGAGGAGAGAGGGCGGCACCACCACAAAATATCGCGGATCAATGGGTTCCCTGTATTTATCACTGAAAATTGGCAGTTTGCTGCTGATACATATGGCATGGTATCCAGATAGGGCGTCAGAATAACTGGAGGGAGGCTTACCGCAGCGCGTCAACGTAAACATTCGCGATCACGTGAGTGCGCCGCCTGCACGCGTCGGTCGGTTCGTCAGTGGTTCTCGTCTTCACCACACGGTTCTCCAGCTGCTCTCCCTCTATCGCACTAGTCTTTGTACCCTTATTCTACCTATCCGTGAGTTCAAAGAGGTTATTCGACACGGAAACCACTCACTTCTTGACCACAGCCGCCCTGTTCACCATGTTTACCCCCTCCAATGCAAAGCCTTTGATCGCCCCAACCCCGCTTAAGACCAGTGCGGACTTCTCCCGCATCCTGAGATGGAGACAAGATGTTGTTAGAGATGAGAAGACCAAGAATAATATGGTGAGTACCCTGCGTGCGGATGGATAGACGAGGCGGCCCTGAGACTCACAATGCGTAGTATATGCGCCATGGAGGGTGCTATACCCAACGAGTCTTAACGGTTGGCAGGGAGATATCTCGCAGATATGCTCAATCCGTGCAGCATCTGGGTAACCCTAACGAGGCGGAACCTTGGCCGCCTATGCACCGTATGGCCACCCTTCCAGAGAGGTCGGCCTTCGCTCCCATTACCCTGACCGACTCTGAAGACATCGCGAAGAACCCCCGTGACGAATTGACTGCCCGAACCCTCTTGCTGCACTCCCTGTTGATGGAAATCGAGGGTGACGACGGAGGTTCGATGGCGTCCGAGTCGAGCGAATCCTCAACAGGCTCGCCAATGCCATGCCGGGTGGTCTTCGCCACTCCAACCCCCACGCATCTGACGGATGACGATGCGATCGAGCACGACTCGTTCTTCGATGACGGCGAGGAGCTTCAATCCACCTCTACCACGTCGCCGAGGCTCCTCCTAACTTCACTGCAAGGCGGCTGGGGTAAGCCCCCAACATCGGAGCCGTCTCTTGCCGACCTCGGGAGGGAGTGGTACGCTACGTGCGGGCAGAATTTGGGAGTATCCTTGCCGATTGGGAATAAGACCACTCGTGGGGGGAGTGCAGATTGCGGAGAGCCTGTGATTCAGAAGGTCAGTCCATCTCGACTGCAACGATGACTTCAAATGTCTTGATAACCTGACCACATTGTATGTCCGTCATAAGGAAGCAACAGCTCACCAAGCTAGCACTGCTACGGCCAACGGTCGCGATTGGCCAAGTGAACGGCGGGTATCGACAAGGGATCGGAAACCACGACACCGACGAAGCGGCAAGAGGAGATAGCATATCATGTACGTATACTAGTGCGTGGAAGATATCTTACGGGTTGGACATTGTCGGAGTCCGTCGCGGTATCGCCTTTGAGGCAATATTGCATGCAACGTGAGCGTTGGACAAGGCCATCTCATCCTGCTTGGGCGATGACACCGCCAGTGAGTCGCTCGTGATTTACGAGCCGACGCCAGCCCCGTCCATGTCGAATGTGTCCGATGTGTCTCCCTTCTCATCCGTACACACCTCGCCGGGCTCTCCGAACAGGCACACGGATGGTTTCTCCGTGGGCCTGGTAGACGTTGACAGTCCGTTTACTAACGTGCACGAAGAGGAAAGTCCAAGTGAACCTCGACGACGAACCACAAGACACTGTGCTGTAGCCGCAGCCCGACGTCTGGAGCGGTGGCCTCGATGGCCTCACAGGCCGGGGCTCATATGTCGCAAGACGAGACCAACAAGTCATATCTAAGCGAGCCTGCTGTCGACGCGATCCCAGCCCTGAGTCGCGGTCGTCGTTGGATCATAGAGCTGGTGAAAAATCGAGGCCATCGAACAAGGTCACCGTCACAAGGGCGCCGATCCGGTTCCACGCTCTATGGTCTTCTCTGGAAGCACGCACGCTGGTGTTGGGCCTAGGTTTAAGGCAAGAAGATGTCGCTATCATCGTGACACCAGGGCTAGCGCGAGATACCTCCCCGGAAGTGATCGCAATGCTGTTCCTCAAGACAAGCGCCGTTACTGGGAACGCAAGAGTGTTCGACCCGCTGACCATCATAAGAGCCAGGTGCACGCGCGATATGACTTCTCGACTCCCTTCATATGTCTGGGAACCGGTGCCAGAGACCTTGGGGTCGAACGAGACGAGCACCCGTACGACGAGCGATCTCTCGTGAGCGACGACGTCCCACGAATACCACGCAGAGCTAACGCTCCCGGACTCGTTGTTTCCCCTTCCTTGTTCGCATTGAGCCCCAATGCAGTTGACAGTCATGACTGGACACACATACCTTGTGTCGGACCAATCCGCAGTGATACATTTCGTGCATCAACACTCCTAATCACCTCGCTCATGGCAGTCTTCTTCCCGCACCTCTAGCTCCGCTTTATCGTCGTCGACGTCGACGTTACACCTGGACTATCATGAATCACTCCTGGGTGTATGCGGAGTGCTCTGCTAGTCGGTATCTTCTTCGCAGCATCTTACGGGAGTCTATGGATGGAAAGCTTCATACGTTTGGATAATATACTCGCCTTTGTTTCGTAGACCAGCCTGGGATTGCAGATAGTTCAGAACCAGAGTTAAGGTGATTACAGTACTGGTGTACGCGCTGGCTGACTCTGTCCATGTTCAGTAGATATCCACACGCCATATATATTGCCGCCATTTTGGGTTATTAGTATGGCCGCCTGGCGTAATGGCAACGCGTCTGACTACGATAAGTTCGTCCGAAAGAGACACTTCGAGCCATCAGGAGATTGCAGGTTCGACCCCTGCGGTGGTCATTTTTGTTGCGTCGACTCGCTATTCCAGTAGCGATTACTTGGTCCAATTCTCCAAAGCACTGGACGCTTTTCTTTCTACCGCCAAACTGTTAACATGCATGTAAGTATCTAGCGGCGACCCCCTCTTCCTCTCTCTTATGGAGCGTGGAACTTCTTGAAGCCGCAGTACCAGTGTCGCATGGTATGTTATCGTCGTCTTCGAGCTCGAGGAAGGCAAGATCTTCTTCATCCCAACCACTGAACCGTGGTCAAGTTTGTTCCGCCAGTCGCTTACATATCATCCAGCATGCTCGAGTCCAAAAAAATCGTGGCCAACGACAGACAAACTCTCAGCCTGCGTGACTGAACACATTGGATGTATCGTTGCCAGGAGGTCAATGCCTCATCGGCTTGCCTGTGGCTGTCCTCTCGGACCATCACTGTCAGTATTGCCTACATATGTGTAAGCTCTCTATTTTGTTTTCTAACCACTGCATCTCGTGTTCATACTTGGCGAGCGTTGCCGGGTTGCCACTTAGGGAAGAGAAAAAGAAGTTTGGACCGTCCCGCACTTTATACGACGTACTACTCGGTGGCTAGATATTTACTATTTAGATCTCCACCGCTTGCCACTTTACATGCTCGTGTTACTGGACAGGGCCGAGCCCAGCGACCCCCGTTTTCGAGTACACATTCGTCCTCCTAGGGAAGGTTGGGGATCTCCATTTTGGGGACCCTCGTGAAAACGAGCAACTGCAAGTACTCGTCGTCGCCCTTCCTGCTTTCCATGTCAGCATCACGGTCACCGCCCTCCTCGAACACGGTCACCGTTCCCCCGCATCCAAGTTCGACCTACATTTCCTCGTCCTCCTCTCCATCCTCTATGTCTTCCTCGCTGTCCATGCAACGCATCTCTTCCGCCTCGATCATGTCGGAGTAGTAGTCGTCCACCGCTGAAGTGGCTCGGCCACGCAGCCCGGGACGACAGCCTTAAGGTTGCCACGAAGTGTGGCCTGGTGCGGCCCAACCACAGGACGTCTGCCTGTGTGGCTGAGAAACGGCTTCAAGGAGTCGTGAAGTCGCGATAAACCGCAACCTGCTCCAGTGGTAATCGCAGCGCGGGACGTCCGACACGAGTTGTACACGCCATCGGAGCGGCGGAGCGGAGTACGTTCAGCATGGTTGAAACCCTCGTGACCACGTCTCCGACCAGTGGCACCGTTGCCCCTGCGGTCTCCTTTGTTCCCAGGTTGATCGTCCTCGTCAACGCTGTCACTCCGAGTCCGCTCATCGCTATCGCTCTCGTCCATCTCGTCTGTCAACCTCCCTTATCTCGTGGAACATGTCGAGTCGTTGCACTTGCGCCGGAGCGAGCTTGTGGAGATGTGAATAACAGTGTAGTCGCGCCGACTTCATGTCGCTGACGTAGAGGGGAGTCTGGCTACAGCCGGGCACGCCGCGCCTCATGCTCGGCTGTGGTCCCCATCGAGAATCCTGGCAGCGTCTCCGTGTATTATGACGTCGGAATAGTCCGAGCAACTCTTCCGTTGGCCCAGAGATAGGACATGCTCGACACACTGAAAAGACAAGTTTGCAAGGCGGTGGATACCGGTGGCCACTACGGTGGCAGCGACCCAGTGGCGGTTTGTGCAGACTGGCACTGGTATTCGAGGCTTGCAGGGAGGAACTCCCGGCGAAGGTGTAGGGGGCCGTAGAGGAACACGAAACCACTCCACTCGGAGGATTTCGCCGCGCCGCTCAGTACCTTTGAGGTAATTGCGTGCTCCTTCAGATTCCTCTTCACGCCCCCCCCCCAGCTGCCGGAATACCGCGTTGCTGCTATCTTCGCTTTCGCTGAACCTTAGCGCCTTCCGGCAATGAGGGCATCACCAGGCTTTCAGCGGCCACGATGCCCCGCAAAGCAGACCGAGCTGCGCCAGGACGCTTGGAGTACTGGTGAGATGTACCGCGGGGAGATCGACGAACGCACGTGCTGAATTTGGAGAGCAAGGCATGTATGTGAGCCAATGAGGGCGGAGACGTTTGTGCATGATCGGGGCGACTCGGAGGTAGATTTGGCAGGAGTGGGAGTGGGAGTCGATGAAACAGACGGCGGGTTTTTCAAGTACTTCTCCGAGTCGTAGCTGACGTCTTGGCAAGTAGCCCTCCTCGCTCGGGCTCGGGCTGTCTCACGGAACATTCGAGTCGCCGTCGGCCTCCCATCAATCTTGACGACGGATCTTCAAAAGTCTCAGTCGACACCCTCACCGAGGTATGACCGTGCGCTCGACGGTAACGCTTGCTGTATGGCCGAGAAGAGACTGGATCTAGAGAGACGGTCAGTAGAAGTTCCGCGTTCGCGCCTTCGTCCTTCCCACTCACTGCTATGTATCCTCCATAGAGAGTGTGCAAGGTGCAAGGGCTCTCGGTGCTTCAATAGTAGACACATCTATATTCTTGTGATGGATGTCGGTCGTATGTGTGCTCGATGTGCATATCGCTGGGGGCGCTGGGGGCGAACATGCCACCGGCAATACGTTGCTGCCCTCTACCCCCTTCTGAGACCAGCCGTCGTTGGACTGGTACCACACTATGTGGGTGGCGGTGAAGAGTGTCGACTGTAACGAGCGCCGGTTGAGTGTTCGTTCGGACGACCCAGTATACGAAGTCTTCGTATACCTACCCTGGTCAACCTCGTCCACCTGGGCGGTTGAGCATACTGGCGGATTGGGTCGGTTCTTGATATTTCCCTGCCAACTGTCAAGACTCGCTGGGTATAGTACCCTCCATGGCGCATATACTACGAATCATGAGTCTCAGAGCCGCCTCGTCTGATAATCCGCACGCATGGTACTCACCATCGTATTGGTTAGTCTTCTCATCGCTAGCAACCTTTTTCCTCCATCTCCAGGAGGCGAGAAGAGTCTGTCTTGGGCTTCGGTGACGGTGGCTCCACTAGAAGCGCTCCGATCCAGCACTGCACACTGCATCGCGGTGTCCAGGGAGGAGAGCTTCCAAGACGGTGGAAGGGGCGCTCTGAGGCTGTGGAGGTTCGGGAGGAGGTGGGGGTCTCTTTGCGTTCATCCGGAATGAGCAGGATATAAGGTGCAGACGAGGCGGGTTGCAATGGGAATGTGGCGGCCGCAAGGATTGGCGTCGAGGAGAATGTGCAAGTCATGAGTGGAGTCGATGGGCGGTGCCATGTCGCTGTGTGGTGAGGGGATGCTCGAGCTCACCTTCTGTTATAAATCATCTCATCTGTGTTGCCAAAGGCCGTTATCATCCAGCACTTGTACTCTTTTGCATTTGTCCCTCTCTAAACCCAGTGATACTGATTTGAGACGCAAAAGTGTGAACAAAGATTCTTTGTAGTATTACCCGCGGTGTACGCTTGTATGCCTTTGACACTTTGCCGTCACTTGTAGAATTTGAATCCGCTTGATCGCGTTTGTAACCATCGTGATTGTCTCCTTCACCGTCCATCACCGCTTTTCTACATGAGTGGACCAACGCCTTTATTGCAAGCTCACCTCATTCTCAGTGGCACGGTACCCGAACATCGCTAATACAGTAGCGCAAGGTACTGCGTATTCATCTGTTAGTCCGCAAAGAAACTCCACCAGCTTTTGATCCACTCTTGATGGGAACGGACCGCGTGAATGGTGATGGTAAGCAACTTGTTACATTGTCAAAAAACGCTTTCAAGCGTAAGAGAAGCAACAAGAGATCCACAACTTGAAAGGAGCGTTTGTGACACCGGAACCGTACGAATCAAAGAAGGCAAAAGAGCGATTGTAGTTTATTCTCAAGCTAATCAGTAACTGGGCTTCGCGCGGCAGCCTACTAGAGTGTTAGTAGTTCCATGGAAGTACGATAGATGCCGGTGGCATGCGAGCGTACCTCTGACATCATCAATTGCCAATGGCGAGGATGACACAGTGTAGTGTTGCGGTCGATGCTGGCGACTCAAACAGGCAAGCCTGTGCTCGCGGCGGGAAGGATCATTCCGAGTTCTCCAACAACACCGCTAACAATGGATGGGACTTCGCCGAGAACAGGCTACGGGAGGAGGCAATGAGTGCGCAAGTTCCACTGTATCCTGACCGGCGTCATCGCAACTCACAGTGCCAGTCGGCGGGATAACCTGTGCGACAGGGAGTGCGCAGACCGCGGCGATGGAAGCGAGAACAGCGAAGGCGACGGTGAATTGCATCTGCAAATGCGAGGCGTTAGAGAAGCCGAGGGCGAGAGGGGGGATAAGGGCTTCACTCACTGTGGAAGAGCTGGTGGATGAGAGATGGACGGTGATGGCGAGAGTAGGAGGTTGGCTCACCCTCTTATATGCAGCGCAACACGGTCGTCCGAGTACCGGCATGACATCATAACGCTAACGAGGCGCGATATGTGCTCGAGACAATGCACCGATCTGGCCCACTGGACAGACGGATATACGCTTGAACGAGGCTAATGCACGCCGCACGACAGCAGTTTGCAGAGCCTAGAATGGCGGCGGCGGCGCAGACAGCTGTCAGGAATTCGAATGGTCCTGGAACTCAGATTGAGTCTGGTATGATCGGAGCCGATTTGGCCATAGTACAGTGGTGTTGGACCTTCTGAACCCAACAGATATGTACGGGTGGTATTAATGCGGTGACGAGACGGTGGAATGGTATGTATGGAGAGTGCTGGTCGGCTTAGTTGGGCCGCAGAGAGTACACTCGCTGACAGAAGAGTTCTGTACTTGGCTACGATGGAAATTGATTATACCTGGTGTAATGTTGACGGAGTGTTTGTGTCGTGCGGATCCAGAAGCATTGTAGCGCTCATGTGCTGAAATCGGTCGTGCTACAAGGCACCTTGTGCAGCACTAGTGTGGTCGTCGCAATGGATGTATACAGGTCATACACACAGTCTGCAAACCTGAAAGGCTCAATGGTCACCTGAACACCCTAGTCAGTAGTGTATTACAGTCAAGGTCAATAAGAGCATCCACTGCGCACGTAACCTCCTATAGAATGAAA